CAGGAGAGACACGGAGACACACGGGGAGGCCAAGGGAGGACGGGGCAGAGGCTGCAGTGACGCAGCCACAGGCCAAGGACCGCCAAGGACCGCCGGCAGCACCGGCAGCTGGGGGGGCAACGAGCACCCCCCCAAGAGCCCTGGCGGGAGGCGGCCCGGCCAGTACCTGGGTTTGGACTTCTTGGCCTCTGTAACTGCGGGAATAAATTCCTGTCGTTTCAAGACCCCAGTCTGTGGTCATTTGTCACAGCAGCCGCAGGACACCGATACTGTGGGCTTGTACTGACCGCCACAGCAAGCTGCAGACCCGTCACCACCCATCAACCCCAGCCCCGACCGAGGGCGCAGCCAGGGTGCCTCCCGGGCCTCCTGCACATCGAGCCCAGATCCCTGGGCTCCGGGGGTTCTCTGCGGTCACACTCGCGGGCCCACCCCAGCCAGTGCTGTGCCGTGCGGGACGCGTCCTCCTTGTGCCCAAGCCCCTGCCTTGTGCCTGGCCCACGTGCGCCCGGGAGCCCCGGCGGGCCTGGCCGAGTCCCCAGCCGACGTCTTCCTGAGCCCACGTGGAGCTGGGCAGCAGCGGCGGAGCGTCGTACCTCGTCAATCTCCTTAATCCATCGGGTGATGCCATCAAAAGACCAGCGGTTTGCAATATCGTAGACCAGGATCACGCCCTGTGGGGAGAGGACACAGACTCAACACGCGGCACACAGACGTGCCACTGGCATGCGGCTATTCGGTCAGAGACACACAGTTAACGAAATAATCATTTTACTCCTTTTAACACTAAGTATGTAATTTTGATTTATCAGCCAAATGTGCAGTTTTATGTCAGGGGGAGGCGGGGCCTAGACTCACAGCCGTGAGCCACTCCAGGGACAGAGAAAGCAGGGACACTGCAGGAATCACCACCTCATGCGAAGCAAGGCCCACCTACCCGCGTGGAGTGTACACACAGGTGCACACACATGCAGTTCATATGTGCATGTGCACACACAGGTATAGACATGTGCCTACCTGCATGCCCACAGAGCTCACATGCACACATGCGTGTACACATGCACTCACACACGTATGCAGTCGCTCATGCACAGACACATGCATACGTAGTGACATATCTGTGCATGTGTTTCATACATGCACACACATGCACACATGCATCCCTGATGCGAAAGGCTTTCGAGCAAAGAAACACTACAGCTGCAGTCCCCAACCCCTGGGCCGAGGACCGGTCTGTGGCCTGCTAGGGACCAGGCCGCACAGCAGGAGGCGAGCGACAGGGAAGCGTCATATATACAGCTGCTCCCGTCACTCGCGTGGGCGCAGGAATTCCGCCTCCTGCCAGATCAGCAGCGGCATTAGATGCTCACAGGAGCATGAAACCTGCTGTAAACCACGCATACGAGGGATCGAGGTTGCGGCTCCTTATGAGAGTCTAAGGCCCAATGAAGGGAGGAGGAGCTGAGGCACTGATGCCGGCGCCGGGGAGCAGCGCAAACACGGATGACCCTCAGCAGGGAGGTCTGCACAGTGAACGAGATGCGCTTCAATCACCCGAACCATCCCCTCCACCGGGTCTGTGGAAAAATTGTCTTCCAGGAAACCAGTCCCTGGTGCCACAAAGGCTGGGGACCGCTGCTCTACAGCACATTTTTAGACTCTGGCATCGATTTATATGTAAGCTTAATTGCCTATCCTCCAATTATCCGTTAAAGAGGATGGTTAGTTAAGCACCGTAAAAGTTGTTATTCAACATCTGCATGATCTCCTGGCTCCGGGGATGCTGTTACCTGTGCACCCCGAGAGTAGGAGCGGAATATGGTACAAAATCTTCCCTGACCCGACGTATCCCTGGAAAAGATGTTGGAGACGTTGAGAAGAAATCGGTGCTTCTTCCTGACAACGGCAAATGCATTTCACAATCGTCCGTGACCCCAGCAAAGCTGTCACGTGTCCCTGGGAGTGACACGGGTGTTGCTGGGATGTCCTTCCAGGCTCATTCTCTTTACTTTTTTCCCCTTTCTTTTTTTGTTTAGAGACGGGGTCTCTCACTCCGTCACCCAGGCTGGAGTGTAGTGGCATCATTACAGCTCACTGCAGCCTCCAACTCCTGGGCTCAGGTGATCCTCCTGCCTCAGCCTCCCAAGTAGCTGGGACTACAGGTGCCACCACCACAACCAGCTAATTTTTCTCCTTTTATGTAGAGACCGAGTCTCACTATGTTGTCCAGGCTGGTCTTCAACTCCTGGGCTTAAGTGATCCTCCTGCCTTGGCCTCCCGGAGCCCTGGGATTACAAGCGTGAGCCACCATTCCCAGCCTCATTCTCTTTTCTCATTGTCATTTAAAAAGTCAAACTACAGGCCCTCATCTTCCAGGTCAGGACTGTCACCAGCCACAGGTGACACGTAACGGAAACGAAAGTGTGCCATGTCCTGCTGCCCAGACCCGCAGACGAGCCTCGTGTGTGGGGGCCAGCCCACGGGCCCCCTGGGGGCACCCGTTGAAGTGGGCGTGTTAATTGCACACAGGAATGTGTACTGACTTTGCCCTTAGGAGAGACTGTGGGGACAGTGCCCACTGTCTAAGAGCACACGCCCCCAGGACTCCATGGTGGTTGGGGGAGCACCTTCGCTATCCCGGGTTCTGTCTCCTGGAGCTCTGTTCTGGTCTTTCTGGGCACTGGCACCCCTGCCTGTGCCGTCGTCTGCAGAAATAAGGCTCCTGAGTAGCCTGGGACAACCCTGGCAGATTCAGGAGGCGAGGGGGTGGGGACCGGGAGAGGCCCCGCTTTGGGCGTGGGGAGGACCATGTCCCCAGATCCAAGAGGGAGGATGACCATGCAAAGAGGTCAGTGGGGACAGCCGGCGGCTGTTGCCATACAGGAGGGGCCTCGAGGTCCTGCAGGTACGCAGGGCGAGAGGGAGGAAAGTGTCCACTCTGGGGTCTGGCCGGTGCGGCCTGGGGTCACGCAGGCGTTTGTGACTATGGGCACCCCGGACCCCAGGCAGCACTGGGCGAGAGGTGAGCCCATTCTGGCTGTCATGTGGGCGTCTAGGGAGGGTACCCGGAGCAGCCGGCAGGTGCAGCCTCTGAGGTCAGGGGTACGCGTGGGCAGGGTGGGGCCTGCAGATGGCTTTTACACCAGGACTGGGTGGTTGGGGGCAGGACAGAAGGGACTTGAGAATAATGTGTCCTGGGAGGGGGAGGAGGGCA